GATGCTGCCTAGGGCTCTGAGGCCCTTGGCGATAGTTTCTTCGATGTGTGGTCGAAAGGAGAGGTTGGAGTCCAGCCAGACTCCTACATATCTGAGTCTCTCTTTGGGGTGGATTTCTTCTTCTGCAATTGTTACCGAGTTTTTGGGATTTGGGGCGTTCGATGTTGTGGGTTTGAAAAAGACTAACTCGGATTTTTGGGGTTCGTATTTGATATTAAGGGGTGCCGCTTTCCTGACTCTTTCGTTCATTCTTTCGTTGAGTCTTTTGGTAATAAAGAGAGAGGACTTTGCTAGTTGGACGAGGGCGTCGTCGTCGATGTAGGTGGTGTTTATTTCTTTGGGGGAGTTGGTGGAGTCTGTTATTACCCCGGCGTATATCATGGATAATCCTGGGGATTGGGAGGACCCTTGGGGCAGCCCGGAGGTGTATGGTTGTGGTGGTTCCAGTTCGTGGTTGAATTGGAATTGGAGTTTTTGGTTGGTGTTGAATTCCTTACACCATGTCGTTAGGTATGTTGGGAATCTTTGTTGGGTCATGATCTCGGCGAGTAAGAGGTGGTCGACACAGTTGAAGGCTCCTTGTATGTCATTTGTGAGGAGCGTGGGTCTGTCTGGGGTGGCGGCTCCTGTGGTCCGTTTGATCAGGAGGTTCTGTTGGATGGGCGTGAGGGTACGGAGTGAGGCATCGATTGCCGAGATTGTTGGTCTACCTCCGAATTGGTCTTTGCTAAGGGTTTCCAGGATGGTTCCGGCGGTGCATAGTCTTGTTGCCACTATCTTTTCCAGTACTTTGCTGAAGCATTGCAACAGGGAGATGGGTCGGTAGGCTTTGGCCGAGGAATAGTCGGGTTTTCCTGGTTTTGGGATTGGTATGCATTTCGCTACTTTCCATCGGTCCGGTTGGACTCCATGTCGGAGCATGGCCGAGAACATGTCTTGGAAGAGTTGGGTGTTTGCCTTGATTGTTGCCTGTATGAATGGATATGGGATGCTATCTGGTCCGGTGGCCGAGTGTGTTGGGCATGATCTGATTGCGGATGTAATTTCTTCTGTTGTTACTTCCTGAAAATCGTCACTAAGGTCAAAGAAGGGGGGTCTGATTTGGAGTGGGGGGTTGTTGGGGGACGTCCAATTTGTGGGGAAGAGTTGGGCTCTTAGAGCTTGGCACTTCCCCGCAAACGTTTCTTCACCTTGTATAGTTGGGATTGTAGAGTCCCTTCTTTTCCCCGTGTTGATTAGTTTCCAAATGGCGCTCCCCTTGGCTTCCATGAGTTCTTTTTCCCTTTGTTCTGCCTTGGCTTTTCGGATTGCTGCCGTCCATTTCCTGCTGGTCTTCCTGAAAGATTCCCTGTCCTCGTCCTTTTGGGTGTTTCTGGCTTTCCTTTCTAGTATGTGGAGGGTTGATTTAATTTCCTTCAGCTCTGGGGTCCACCATTTCTTGGATTTAAGGTGTCCTTGGCTCCATGGGGTTATTTGGTCTATCAGGTTGTATATATGTTCGAGTATGAAGTCGACCGATTGCTTTGTGTGGTTCTGGCTTTCCCACGCTTCGGGGGGAAAGTGGAGGCCTGAGATGTTTTCTTCCAATTTCTCCCAGTTCGTTCGGTGCCATAGTCTCCTGGGGATGTGGGGGGGTTTCTCTATTCGTAATTGCAGGATTGTTTTTCCATGATCAGAACCTGCTCCATGTCGGTCGATGTTCCAGCGGACATCATGGTGCAGTACTGGTCCTTTTACAAGTGTCAGATCGATGATGGTCGGTCTGTTGTTGTTCCTGGGGAAATGTGTGAATTCGCCTGGTTCGTTGAGTAGGGATAACTTTTGTCGATCAATCAATCTTTTTAGTTTCTTGGATCCGGGTTTGTCTGCTCTAATTGTGTTGGTGTAGTCATAGGATCTATGTCCGTACCATAGTTGGTGGTGGCTGTTGAAGTCTCCCATTACGAGGCAATTTTGGATGGTGGTTATTTGTCGGGAGATTTCTGCGAAGGGTCCGCTCCGCCCTGGTGAGTATATGTTGAGGATTTGTGTTTTTTGGTTTTGGATTTCCACCGTGACGGAGACGATGAAGTTGTTATGGGTGTAGTGGTGTTTTGGTTTTAGGTTGGCGTGTTTTCTGATGTATGTGGCGGCTTTGGTGCCTTTGTTGCTGGCTGTGAATAGATAAAAGAGAGGGGATTCCGGTGGGTGGCCGTCTTTATTGTTCCATGGTTCTTGTAACAAAAGAAAGAGTATGTTGTGGTCCTGTTCTGCTTCCTCCACTACTGACTTTGTTGTGAGCTCGTTTTTCGCGGAGTTCAGTTGCTGTGCGATAGCCGTTGTCCTTTTGGTGTGACTCATTGGGTGTTATCCATGGCTGCGTCTTCTTGGGGGGGGTCCTGGGCCGGGATGACAATGGGTATTGGTAGTGGGCTTGGGTTTGTATCTGGTCCAAGTTTGTTTGTGATGCGGACTTTGGTACGTTCCGGGCAGTTGGCGTCTGTTGCTTTTGGGGGGCCTTGCAGTGATAGCACCGGATGGGTGTGTGGATACATCTAGTACCTCCTGAGCATTCTGAGCATGGGTGTTCTTTTGTTTGGTGGTCCTCTGCACAGTGTCCGCATCTCCCGGTTTGGTGGGAGCATCTTTCGTGTCGGTGGCCATATTCTAAGCATTTGGAGCATTGGGTTTCTGGGTTGGCTGGGAGGTAGTTGTCGATTTTGCCTTGCCGGTCGAATAAGGTGAGGTATCTCAGTCCGAAGTTGTCCTTTGTGTATTGTCCTGGGAGTGCGATGATCATTGACGAGTGTGACTTCCCTATTCTGGCTTCGAGTTTGCTGATCCATATGGGGATCTGTGCCATTTCGAATGTGGTTCCGTAGTTGCTTCTGATTTCTGAGGCCATGACCTGTCCTGCTTCATAGCCGTCTCCGATTGTTGTTGGGATTCCATGTACGATGAATTTGGACCATTTGGAGTTGACCCTGATGTCCACAAAGGGGACCTTGAGTTCTCTAATGGCTGTTTCTATTTCCTGTTTGTATTCGAAGACTTTCGAGGCGGGGGTAGCGAATTTGGTCTCTAGCACAATGTTGTTCTTCGAGGTTTTCCTGGCGGCGATCAGCTGGCAGTCTGGATTTTCGATTTTTGTGTTGATTCTTGTTCTGATGTCGGAGGGGGTGACTGGTGATTCCTTGTTTGTTTCGATGACTATTTCCCTGTTGATTTTGGTGATTTCTGGTTTGAATAGTGGATCCGCTTTCGGCTTGGGTTTCCTCCTGTTCGTGACCATGGTATATTCGGGGTTGGCGTTTCCTGCTGCGATAGATGCGTAGGATTTTGGTACTGGTGGGATTGGTGTTTCTTTTCCTTTTCCTTTTAGTTGTTGGGCGTGGTTCACCTTGTTGATGGGTGCAGGGGGAGGGGCGGGGATGGTGGCAGCGGCGACGGCGGCGGTTGCGGAAGCTTTTCCTTCGTTGACTGCTTGGTTGCTAGGTCTGTTAACGGAGAGGTTGGAGAGCTGTTGTTGGAGGCGGTGGAGTTTTTCGGAGGTTTTGTCTTGGTTCTTTGTCATTTCGAACATTTGTTTGGCCAGGACATCAACGGTGTGCTTGAGGGTTTCGTTTTGGGTGGATAGGACTTCAATGGTGGCTTTTAGGTCCTTGTTGATCTGCTCGGTTGTTTGGTTGAGGGGTTCGAGCGCCACGGTGAGGGCATTTCTAATGACCCATGAGATATAATTGAGGTCCATTCTGGCATGGGTTTCTTGGGGGACGATGCTAGGGTGGATGTAGTCATATTTTGGTGCGTATGGTTCGTTGTATTGGGTGTATTCTGCGAAGATAGAGAAGGGTTCGCCGCTGAGTTGGGTTTGTTCGATTGTGGTAGATTGTGTTTGTAGGTTGGGTTGAGTGGATTGGGTGTCGGGGAAGCGTGGGGGGGCTGGAGATCCTGGGGGGGGGGCTCCTGCAAACCAGGAGCTCAGGGAGGCTTGTTGGGACATCACTGACGTTCCAGTTCAGGTTGGGTTGGGAAAGACTTCTGATAAAGTTCTCTTTCTTCCCGCGAATTTTGGTGGGTTTGGTGGGGTTGGTGAGGCCAGGTTGTAGTTTTGCTATGGTCGCGAGGCTTAAGCGAGGGTTGAGGGGTGAGGAGATCACAACTCAGGGACTAGAGCGTGAATAACTTCGCGTACGAACAGATGTGCGATGAGATACCAATAGATTACGCGGTCTATTGACATACAGGATCGTGTTCGAGTAAAAGTTTTATCGGGAGGCAGGCCAAAAGTTATTGTTGTTCGAAAGTTTTGGTGTTGCGAGGAGTACAGAAGACGTTGCGTAAGGAAAGAAGGAGAGAAAGGAAAACAGGAACGAAGCGAGGGAGAGTCCTCTTATTATACCCAAGGAGATCCTGCGATGACTAATCCCCAATGACTCACAACACGCAACCGAACAGAAACCCAAAGAATACGAGAGAACCCTCCTGACTAATCCGACTCCGCGTAACCCGACGACCCCACCAACCGATCCATGAAACCTAAGCTCGGGAAGAACTCACTTGTCAATTCCGCTTTACGACGTCAGAGTCAAATGGCACTACATCGCGCCCTTGGGGAGATCTTCCTGAGCATCCGGGAGTGCTCTCAGGAAGGCGAGCTAATCGCATGCGCCAACGGGTACGAACGTCTAAGCTTTCCGGTGTTGTCGGGTTGGATCGCTGATCAACTTGAGCATTCAAACTTACAAAATATTAGTACTAGCTCTTGTCCAAGATGCGAGGTGGAATTCCACAGTCTTTGAAGCACTCGCCGGAGCCATACGCGTGATTACAAGGATTACCGGGAGAGGGTAAAGCTATTCAGGGAGAACCCGGGACACCTGGGACCGGTGGAATACCTTGTCGCGAGATCAGTAGAGACACTCTTCAATGCTTTCTGGGGTATGCCGAGGGTTAATCCATACGATCTCAACAAACCGCACATTCTGCACAATATCTACCTAGGGATGTTGAAGCACATGATGGAGTGGGTTCAGGATTTCTTGAAGAAGCAAAATCGATTGGAGGAATTTGACAATGCTTGGGCCTCGATTGCGCCTTACCCTAGACTGGCAGTACCGAACAAGGCATATCGTGCCACAACCCAATGGCAAGGGAAGGAGATGAGAAATCTGGGGCGGGTCGTTCTTGGAGCACTCGCGGCTGCTTTGAGAAACCCGGGGGTGGCTGTCAGGGGCGACTTCGCAAAGGCATTGAAATGTGTACGAGGCTTAATCAACTTCCACTTAATGGCGCAGTATGGGAGTCATACGACGAGCACACTGAATTGTATGGAGAGCTATCTCGAGGATTTCCATAAGCACAAGGATATCTTTTTTGAATTCCGGGCGTACAAGAGGACGGTTAAGGATTCGAGAGATCGGACAAAGGCCTTAAAGACCTCAGGCTCACAAAATGCTCAGCGAGGTTTGGAGGAGATACGCGAGATACGGGAAAGGTCTCACTTCAACTTCATCAAATTGCACGTGTTAATGCACTATCGGGAACATGTGGAGCGCTTTGGGAGCATTCCCCAGTACTCCACCGATATCAGCGAACTCGCCCATGTACGTCAGATAAAATAGGCATACGGAGCATCCAACAAGGTCGATGCTGCAACGGAGATACTGGACTATGCGTGACGGCGGTTGGCGTTAGAGATTCGAATGCTGAATCTGAAAGACATTGTTGGAGGTCCTGAGAGCACTGATGACATCCTTTGGAGCCATCGAGATAACCTGAAGGAATTACTTGAGATTTTCAAAATCGAAGACCGGAAAAAAACACCAAATGAACGATTCATAGTAGAAGGCCGACTGCCTCCAAGGCGTCTTTGCAACCCCTCCACGAAATCGGAAAGACTTTTCAATATTGCGGATGCCAGTGGACTGCAAATAAGCCATACCATGTTATATCGCCTGATAAAGGAGTATGCAGAGGATGCAGGATGCTCTCAAAGCTTTGCCGGAAGCTCTGAGAGCATTTTAGAGCGCCGGGTTGAGATGTTCAGATGTTTGCAGGTTCCGATACTAATCTTCCAAAGACCTGACGTGTACGAGGTTCTGTAACGGCAATATTATATTTCAGCTAAGGTGATAGATTGGGTTGTGAAGAGAAGGAATCGCGCAGTTGGACTATGATTTGTAATGGGTTTTCTGTTATGTTCTTTCGGTTTCCGTTACGCAAGATATTAGTCACCAACAGACTAGGAGTTGGATATATAAGGGGTGTTGTCTCGTGCCTTTTCATGTTTTCCTTCCTTTCCTCTTCTCTTCACGGAACCTCCTGTATCTACCCCAACGAATACTACTTTTGTTCTACGCCTCGTTATAGGGTTCAACTAGTTGTCATACTAGATAGAGCCACTCCATAGCCCATAGTCCTGAATACCTATTGCCACGTCCTCGCCTCGGTTGTATTCCTTGGCACCATAGTCCCTACGTCCATAGACCGCCGTTACACCAGGTTCCGTCCTTTATCGCCAACCAATACAACACTATAGCCTACAATGTCGGAACACGTTCCTATCGATTACCAACAACTAAGCGACACCCTTCAAACCTTCTTCCAAGAACATCCACAGGTCGATAACACTGTCGGGATAGAAGCCTACGCACTTCTTCAAAGGGCCCAACATGGTCTAGGTCAGTATGCAACGGACTTACAAGAGGTGGAGAGGGAGGCTGGAAATGCAAGGGAGATGTTCGAACGAGACCTTGCTGCTGCTCGAACCCAGCGGGTCGCTGTCGAAGTAGTTGCCCCTGATGAAGAACCGATTGGTGGTGATGATGCCCCACCCGCGCCTCCAATACCACCCGTTGTGGCTACTACTCAGCGGTCGGAAAAGCTCCCAGACCCCGAGGTGTTTAGGGGAGATCGCGATCGAGAAAGATTACACCTATTCAAACAACAGATGAGGATTAAACTATTGGGAAATGCCGACCGCCTTCCCACACTACAGTCCAAGTTATCCTACGCATTCAGTCGACTGGAGGGTGTTGCCGCTAATCAGTTCTTACAATATGTCGGAGAAGAAGGCATCGCTTTGCCTTCCATGTTGCGGTTTTATGAAATCCTAGATACGACGTTCGGGGACCCTGATCGAATGCGCACGGCTAGAAGGAACCTTAGGAACATCCTTCAACGAAATCGAACCTTTGCTGACTATTTCGCCGAATTTCAACGGTACGCTGCTGATCAGGAATGGATGAAGTCTCTCGGATTGAGGCTTTGATGGAGGCATTAACGCGGAACTCGACGAATCGATGATACACCATGAAACTCCTGCGACAGTAGATGCCTGCGCGACACTTTTGCAACGGTTAGATAATCGACGACGAGCGGCACAGGCTAAGCGAGGAAGTAAAAAACCTTGGATGCTACTGCTGCTCCGACCCCTCGTCCCCCACTAGCGAATCCTGTGCCTACCCTCGCGCTGCCGCCCCAGCTGTCAATGCACCTACCCCTGAGAACATCCCTCGTTCCGCCCGGGAGGTGATGTACCGATGGATCTGTCCGGGGGACGTCGTCGCCCCACCCCTACTGAAAGAAACGCCCGCTTAGCTGAGGGCCGATGTTTCTATTGCGGAGGAGTTGGACATATGGTTAGGGATGCCCCCAAGCAAGGGCAACTGGAAATCAACCAAGGAGACCGGTGATGAGAGGAGCGGCATTGAGGTAGAGGAAAATGATAGAAGCGATAACGAGTCGGCAAAAGATTTGTCCCTGCACTAAGTGGCTTAGCCCAGGGACCATTTAAGAATTTTTCTGAAATGCATATTTCTGGTTTTTCGGTATCAGAGGAGGAAATGGATGGGAACCAATTTGTAGTAACTTGTTCAATTTCACAGAATAAAAATACTTTCGTACCCACCTACGCCCTTATTGATACCGGAGCCTCAGGATATGCTTTCATCGATGAATCTTTTGCAAGCCACAACAATCTCACCATGACCCACTCAAAATACCACGCCACGTAGACGTTATAGACGGCAGACCTATTAAGTCAGGAAAGATTACTCATATTGTTGATGTCTCGCTAGACATTCATGGCCATCGAGAAACTGCATCATGTTTTGTGACAAAGTTGGGACACTATCCGATTGTGATGGGGATACCTTGGATGCGACGCCATGAGTTACATTCGACCAAAGGAAAATTTCTTATCTTCGACTCTCAAAGCTGCTGTCAACATTGTTCGCTTAGTGGAACTGCAATTACGGTTCATGGTATATCAATTCCCCTACCTGAAACTCATACTGTTACCGTCTCAGCGACGAAAAACCTACCATCGATATTAAACAACTAATACCGAAGGAGTTCCACCGCCATATCCACATGTTTGAAGAATATGATGCTACAACTTCCGCCACATCGACCGTTCCATGATATGAAGATAGTATTAGAAGAAGGCAAACAACCACCATGGGGACCAATATATGCTTTGTCCCAAATGATTGAAGGCACTCTGGGATTATCTTCAAGGAAATCTGCCAAGGGAATTATCCGCCATAGTGAATCACCAGCGGGGGCCCATACATTGTCAAGAAAGCTGATGGAACCCTTCGTTTATGTGTCGACTATCGGGGCCTCAATGCAATTACGATCAAAAACCGATACCCATTCCGTTATTGAAGAAACCTTGCCAAATTGTCGAAAGCAAAATATTATACTAAATTGATTTACGTTGGGGATATAATCAAATCAGAATAGCGGAGGGGGACGAATGGAAAACGGCATTCCGGACTCGATATGGACATTTGAATATACGGTAATGCCTTTTGGATTAGCAAATGCTCCGGCTACATTTCAACATTGGATCAATGACATCCTGCGCCCCTATCTCGACCAATTTGTGACGGCCTATTTAGATGACATTCTCATCTATTCCGAATCCCTTGCAGAACACAAGGACCATATTCAAAAGATTTTAAAAGTACTTGAGGAGAACCATGTCCATCTCAAACCCGAAAAATGTGAATTTATGGTTCAAGAAACGAAATATCTTGGCCTAATCCTCACCCCAAATGGCAACAGAATGGATCCAAAGAAAGTTATTGACGTTCTGGAATGGTCCATACCGACAAATCTCCATGATGTTCAAGTATTTTTGGGATTTGCAAACTTTTATCGACGGTTTATTTTAGGATATTCGAGGATTGTCGCCCCACTTACAGCTCTAACGAAGAAAAATGTTAAATTCGAATGGACGACGAAAGGGAGAAGCATTTCAAACCTTGAAAGAAATGTTTACAACGGCACCTATACTAGTCCATTTCGATCCGAATCGAAAGATTGTAGTAGAAACCGATGCATCCGACTATGTTTCGCAGGGATTCTATCACAATATGATGATGAGGGAGTTTTACATCCGGTAGCTTTCTTTTCCAAGAAACATTCCCCTGCGGAATGTAACTATGAAATCTAGATAAAGAACTTCTAGCAATCGTACGATGTTTCGAAGAGTGGCGACATCATCTAGAAGGAGCACAATCCCTATTGAAGTTCTTAGCGATCACCGAAACCTAGAATATTTCATGACGACAAAATTACTAAATCGTCGACAAGCTCGTTGGTCTGAATTTCTTTCACGCTTCGATTTCGTTATACAATTTCGACCAGGAAAACAAGGAGCAAAACCGGATGCATTAACTAGAAGGTCAGGTGACCTACCTAAAGAGGGGGAATGAACGGTTGATGCATCAGAGCCAAGTGGTTCTGAAGAGAAAAAATCTGGATGCAAAGCTAAGTTTGTTCGCGGGTTCTTTATCAAATGAATCCGCTGAAGGAATGTCCACTGTGGAGGAGTTATTTTCAAAAGTTTACCAAGTTGATAGTTTCCAAACGAGATCCTCGTTATGCTTCGAAGCGATGTTCGTCATTCAAATAAAATTTCACTTGCCGAATGTACTGAAGACAAAACGGTCGGCTACTTTATCGAGGCGCACTCTACGTACCAAAGGACAATGACCTCCGGCTGAGACTCCTGAAAGAACATCATGACAAACCATCGGCAGGCCATCCGGTAGAGCAAAGACCTTGGAACTCTTAAGTCGGGAGTATTATTGGCCACAAATGCGAAAAGATGTCGATCGATATGTTAGGAATTGCAATATGTGTGTCCGTAGCAAGGCACCACGTAATGCGCCTTATGGGGTACTTCGTCCCATGCCAATACCCGATGGACCATGGACGGATGTCTCAATGGATTTTGTTACCGACCTTCCGGAGAGTCAGGTTATAATGCGATTCTAGTTATTGTTGATAGACTAACCAAAATGCGACACCTATACCAACAACTAAAGAGGTGGATTCGAAGGAAGTAGCAAGGCTATATATCGATAACGTTTGGAAATTACATGGACTACCTGATACGGTTGTGTCCGATAGAGGAACGCAATTTGTCGCGGAATTTTGGAAGTCACTTTGCAACGCCTGGAAATATCTCCACGATTCTCCACCGCATTTCACCCCCAAACCGATGGACAAACTGAAAGAATCAATGCCATAATGGAACAGTATCTCCGAAGTTATGTCTCTTACCAACAAGATGATTGGGTCCGGCTATTGGCAATGGCCGAGTTCG